TGTTGACCAGGATGGTCTCGATCTCTTGACCTCGTGATCCACCCGCCTCGGCCTCCGAAAGTGCTGGGATTACAGGCGAGTAATAAGTTTTAAAAGTCATCTTAGGAAAGACTTCCCTCTCACTTTTTCTCTCTCCAGTGCTCCTTCAATACGTAAAATGCTAATTTCTACTATATAGTAAATATCAAAACGAACTTTTGTATTTATTCGTCTGTATCCCTAAATAGAAAATACTTGTACTGTTTCCTAGCACCCGGCACGATGCCTAGTCAATTAACTCCTTGCACGTAGCGAAGTTCTGTCGAGTTAAAGACAAGAATATATCCTGGAAACATGCCAGGCCTTGAAAAAAAATCATCTTTCTCAAAAGTGTTTGGAGTGATACCAATGCCAAGTAACGGGGGTATAATAAGTGTTTCTCAAGATAATCCTACGCAGTCAGAAGCGCTGTAAGGTAGAGACAATCATTTTTACAGTTATCATTTTTATTCTTACTAAATAATTTTATGACATAACTTACTAGTGTTACATTATTATAACACGATTTAAAGGGATAGTGCGTAAAGGAACTACTATGTACCAGTGAGACCTGAGCAGGGCACACGAGACTAAAAAGAAAAACGACCCCACGCAAAAGCTAAGTCTTGCAGTTCTCACTCCTCGCATCTCCAGTGTCCACGGATCCGCAGTCCTGTGTTTTTGTATTTCGCCCAAGAAACACCCCTGTGGAAACCTCAGCGTGCAAGGAATCCAGCTCTGCCTCCTGCTGCCCGCGGCTCCCGTACCACCCAAGGCTCGCGATCCTCTACGGCCCCTCGAAGTTGCCTCCCTTTCCAGGGCAAAAAGCGAGCCACGAAGGGACGGCGACCCCGCCTCACCTGCCAGCCTGCACCAGTTCCGGCCCAGCTTTCCTTGGGGCCGTGTTCCCCCCCACAACGGTCCTGAGGCCCGGGTCTCACCTCTCCACCCATTCCCTCAGGAAGCGCATTTCTTCTGTGTGCAGAACGCTTGGATCCTGCTTACACATCTTCACAAAAGCCCGAAGCTCGTTGACTTTTCGGGGGTCCATGGTCGTCAGGCGGTGGACGAAACTAAGGGTCTGCGGCCCGCTTCCAGGCCGAGGCGCTGGCTCGGCGTGACCGCGCAGAAGGGGGCGTCTGCCGCGAGGCAGAACAGACTAGAACCTCCCCGACCGCTGGCTCCTCCCACCCAACGGTCTCGTGACCCCGGGTCCTCCGCTTGCCCCTTCCTACTCGCTCTGCGCTGCTCCTGCGCGCTCCCTAGAACATTCTAGAAGCGTGGCTGTTCGTGCTGTTGCCTGCCTCTCTGCGTACACATTCTGATATTCTTAACTAGGAACCAGCTCCCTGGAGGGGGTAACCCTCGACATGGGCGCCTTCAAAGAGGCGAGAGATAGCAGCCCTTCCAGGCAGCCACGTCCAAGAGCACATTCTGCTGCTGCCTGCACTGAGTAGAGTTTAACCCCCGGACCTAAAAAGGGGCGTGGGGCTGTAGGGGCGGTCCCAGCCCCGGGCATGACGTCACATTCTGCGCCGCCGCTCAAGGAAGGCCCTCGAGCGGCGCCCGCCGGAAGGGGAGGGGCGGCTGGTCCGGTTTCCTGGCGACGCGGCGAAGCAGGTGGCACCTTTCCGGGCCGTTAGCCTCTCGTCTTCCCGGCGCGCGAGCTAGGCCGTCATGCCTTGGCTGCTCTCAGCCCCCAAGCTGGTTCCCGCTATAGCAAACGCCCGCGGCGTCTCAGGTTAGACTCTCCTCCAGGTCTCCTCCCGTGGTGTCCCTTGGAGGGACCCAAGTTGGTCTCAGGCGATCCCTGGTTCGGCCGGCCCTTCTCCTGGTGGGGCCTCAGCTCCCCAACCCCTCTGTACCCTTTGCGGATTTTTTCTATATCGGCTGCGCCTGGAAAGGGGTAGGCCCAATGTGTTCTCTACCATTGAGGTATTCAGTGAAGCCGAAATGACTACAGAGAAAAAAAAGTGTGTGCCATTCCCCAGAGAGGCTGTCTTCCAAGTTACTCGGACTCCGAAGTCGTGACAGCTATCACACTTAAGTGACATAGCGTCTCACATCAAGTAGCTCTTGTTTCTCTTAGGTCAACTTAAAATCCTCTTGTGTTTTCAAATAGCTGATATGAGAGTTTGCTCCAGAGTATACAAGAAGCATGTTTAGTAACAAATTCTTAAAGCAGCTCCTCTTAGAAAAGGTACTGTTTGGAAACACTGGGCTTGAAAGTCCTCTTTGTAAAGACAAGACGAAGGAATAAAGAGAAGAATTTTTGTAGGTGGTCCTATTGTGAGCAATTAATCTGATGAACATAAAGCTTAAATCGGTGAAAACTATCACTTACCTTGCAGGCGGATCTGCCATTGGATCGTATTTCAGTTTTTTGGGGCAATATATGAACAGTGTGTGAACCAGAACACGTGATATTTGGCATCAAAGCTATGTTTTGGCATATGTTTATGTTGATATACTTGAATTCATTTAAAATGGAATGTTAATTATATCGACTTTTTACTATTAAAAAAAAAAATTTATTGTCCAGTTCGCGGAACTTCTTCAGTTCTAATAGTAAAGCTGCAGAAAGATGTAACTCTCCATGGAATTAGGTGAATTTTTTTTTTTTTTTTTTGAGACAAGTTCTCATTCTGTCGCTCAGAGTGGAGTATAGTGGCAATCTCTGGTCATTTGCAACCTCTGCCTCCTGGGTTCAAGCAATTCTGGTGCCTCAGCTTCCCGAGATAGCTGTGATTATAGGCATGTGCCACCACACCTGGCTAATTTTTGTAATTGTAGTAGAGACCTGGTTTCACAATGTTGGCCAGGCTGATCTTGAACACCTTCCTGGCCTCAAGCAATCCGCCCTCTTTGGTGAGCCACCACCTGGAATTTGCTTTTACGTGCAAGGCCCTCACAAACCCTTGAACTCCTTGCCTCAAGCGATCCACTCTGTTTGGTGAGCCACCGCGCCGACCTGGAATTTGCTTTTATTTGAAAGGCTCTCACCAACCCGACTAAAGGAGCCATACTACCAGAAGGAATACTTGCAAAGACACAGAAACGGAATGGCCAGTACTAAGCATTGCAATCATTAAGTATGGCCAGAGAAGCTTTTATTATTATTATTATTATTTGGAAACAGTCTCTCTCTCTTGTCGCCCAGGCAGGAGTGCAACAGCGCGATCTTGGCTCACTGCAACGTCCTCCCGAGTTCAAGGGATTCTCCTCACTCAGCCTCCCGAGTAGCTGGGATTACAGGTGCCCACCACCACGCCTGGCTAATATTTTTATTTTTAGTACGCCCGGCTAATATTTGTATTTTTAGTAGAGACGGGGTTTCACCATGTTGGCCACTGGTCTTAAATCCTGACCTGAGGTGATCCGCTGGCCTCAGCCTCCTAAAGTGCTGGGATTGCAGGCGTGAGCCACTGCAGCCAGCCTAGGAGAAGCTTTTTTGAAATATATTCTCAAACAAAATAGGCGTTACACCAAAATGATTCTGTGATCAAATATGTTTGGGGAATGCTGCATTGCTGCATTTCATAATGTACATGATAGTCTAATTTTTTTTTTTTTTTTTTTTTTTTGGAGATGGGGTCCTGCCATGTTGCCCAGGGTAAACTTGGACTGGTAGGATCAAGTGATCCTCCCAACTCAGCTCCTCAAAGTGTTGGGATTATAAATGTGAGCCACTGCACCCAGCCCATAATAGTCTAAGTTTCTGAGATTGAGATGTGTTCAGCAGTAATTTGCAAAATGTGTAAAAATATGTTTGACCATGGACCCTTTTTCTGTGATGAGTCTTGAACTGGTATCCCTGGAACACGTTTTGGAAAAAATTGGGCTAGAGCATAAGATGGGTATAAGGAGCTGTGATGGGAAATCAAGTTGGGGAAAAAGCTAGAGGCTGGCTCATGGAGGGCCTTATATATTAAGAAACGATTAGTTTTTTCCTTTAGATGGTGAGAAACCTTTGAGGAATATTAAGCTATTGAGTAAAATGTTTAAATTTTGGCTTTTCTGTTAAGAATGAAGAAATGGACTACAGGGCATATCATTACACTCTTAAATTTTCTGACACTTGCCGGGCGCGGTGGCTCAAGCCTGTAATCCCAGCACTTTGGGAGGCCGAGGCGGGTGGATCACGAGGTCAAGAGATCGAGACCATCCTGGTCAACACGGTGAAACCCTGTCTCTACTAAAAATAAAAAATTAGCTGGGCATGGTGGCGCGTGCCTGTAATCCCAGCTACTCAGGAGGCTGAGGCAGGAGAATTGCCTGAACCCAGGAGGCGGAGGTTGCGGTGAGCCGAGATCGCGCCATTGCACTCCAGCCTGGGTAACAAGAGCGAAACTCTGTCCCCAAAAAAAAAACAAAACCAAAAAAAAAAAAAAAATTTTCTGACACTAATTTTTGCTTTTGTTTTTGGAAAATTGCAAATTTTTAAACTTTACTACCACATACATGATAACAGATGAACTCTATTAATTATCACATCTTATATAAGAAGCATTTAAAACATCGTGGGCTTTTATTATTTTATTTTGTGAAAATAAACTTTAAATACTAATTGTCCCCAGTCTCTTCTGTAGAATAAATGATGTTTCCTCCTCCCATCTGATCTGCCCACTGAAAATTACAGGTGTGAGCCCCTGTACCCAGCCAGTCTGTTGCCCATTTTTATGGTTATTTCTTGATTATGTCCTCAACAAGAAGTGGATTATTCATGCTGCCCATTTTAGACTGTATAGGGTAACTTCCTGACATTGCCATGGCATCTGTAAACTGTTAGGGCTCTGGTGGGAATGTAGCAGTAAGGACAACCAGAGGTTACTGTTGTTGCCATCTTAGTTTTGGTGGGTTTCAGCCAGCTTCTTTATTACATCCTATTAGCAAGTTTTTGTGACCTGTATTTTGTGTCAATCTCCTGTTTCACTCTGTGATTAAGACTACCTTAACTTACTGGGAATGTAGGCCAGCCAGTCTTGGCCTTATGTTACCAAACCCCTACCAAGGATAGAGTTGCTGTGGTTCAAACGCCTCTGACACTATGATACAGAGAGAAGCTAGAAAATAGGACTTTCTCCTTTTAAGAAATTAATATAGTTTGAGAAAACTAATTTCAGTGGAGTGTAAAGTTGTAACATAAGCACTTGTTTCTGCAGTTATCCCCACTGTGATGATCCCTTGCCTCCCTTCCATATGCTGTGCCATTTTCTTTGCCTCTTCACAGCAAAACTTATACAGAGTATTGTCTCAGTGTCTGTGCTTTCTTACATCCTGTTCCCTCCTTGGCACACTCCAATCTGGCTTCTATCTTTTATACTCTGCTAAAATTGCCAGAGTGTCCAGTGACTTTGATGTTACCGTATCTAGTGGTTGCCCTTTTGGCTTCCTTATATTTTGGAGCACTTGCTACACTGTGAGCTGTCCTCCTTTCTTTCTTTTTCTTTTTTGAGACAGTTTCCCTCTTCTTGCCCAGACTGGAATGGTGCAATGGCATGATCTCAGCTCACCGCAACCTCTGCCTCCCGGGTTCAAGTGATTCTCCTACCTCAGCCTCCCAAGCTGGGATTACAGGCATGCGCCACCATGCCCAGCTAATTTTGTATTTTTAGTAGAGATGTGGTTTCTCTACATTGGTCAGACTGGTCTCGAACTCCCGACCTCAGGTGATCCACCTGCCTCGGCCTCCCAAAGTGCTAGGGATTACAGGCGTGAGCCACCACACCCAGCCTAGCCCTCCCCACTTCTTAAAACACTTGTTTATTTAGCTTCCTAAATACCATACTTATTTTTTTTTATTATTTATTTTTATTTTTTGGTAAAGACAAGGTTGGCCAAGCTGGTCCTGAACTCCTGGCCTCTAGTGATCTGTCTGCCTCGGCCTCCCAAAGTGCTGGAATTACAGATGCGAGCCACTGCGCCTGGCCCTAAATACTTGAACTTGCTGGGAATATAACCCAGCAGGTTCTAGTTTTCCTCCTTTTTCCTTTGCTCCTTCTCACACTAAAATATTACAGTGCTAGACTTTGTTCAGTCTCCCTGGGTAATACCTGTTCAGTCTCCCTGGGTAATACCCATTCCCCATTCCCAGGGATTTAGATGTCATCTGTGTGCTTATAACACCTTAATTTATATATCTAGCCGGGTACTTTTCTCCCTGAAATTAAGACTGCTCATTTGACCTCTCCATTAAATTTATTTCCAATAAATATCTCCGGCTTTCCTGTTTCATGTAATGGTACAACCATTTATTCACTTGTTCAAGCCAAAAATCAAGAATTATTCTTAATTCCTCTTTTTTCTTTCCTTTGTCCAATCAGAAGCCAGACTCATTGGCTTTTAACTTCAAAATACATTCCAAATTAAGTCACTGGGAAAATAAAGTCAAATAACAAATGATCGCATGGTGGCTTACTTGCTCACAACTGTAATACCAGCACTTTGGGAGGCTGAGGCGGGCAGATCACGAGGTCAAGAGTTCAAGACCAGCCTAACCGATATGGTGAAACCC